TGCTTCCGTAACCTCGCCGGGCCGGTGGGCCCACGTGGTACGTCCTTACGCGCCCCTAATTGGCGGGCGGGCGAGCTCGCGATTGCCACGAATCGCGTGAGGTGCGTAGCGCCGCGGGTCCTATGTCCCCCGCGCGCGGTATTCAAATTATCGGCGGTGTCCTTCATGTCGGCGGATCCTCCAGGTGCGCTCCCATGCTGGCACGCTCAGGTGGCCATCCTCCGGGACAACTCTCGTGAGGGGCCGTTCCTGGCGGCAGATCTCCTCCTTGGGGCGCCCTGTCGCGTTTCCGACTTCGGGGTCTCTCGCCCGATCTGGGGGCGTAGAGTGGCCATCCCCTTTATCCTCGCCTTAGCTGGTTCGCACCGGAATCTGGAATGAAGCTCGGCAGCTTAATTGCTCTTAAATGGTGTAAAGGAACGCGGACTCAAATACAACCTGTATACGTGGCTTCTCCGTCCTTGTGGTCCTCTTCTTGTTGCTGCTGCGACGTCGGTGAGACGGATGAAATCATACAAAGTCTCCGGGAGCCGCCGATACGCTAAGTTAAATAATCGAGATCGCTACGGACTAAAAGTGATTACGAACGGTACTCGGTATTCGGGCGCGGGAGCCACGCAACGTAGTCCCGCGGCCCGCGCCACGCGTCCGCCTCCGAAAATCGGAAGGACACAGGACTCGAAACTACCGCCCGCGGTCGGGTCCGTAGATCCCTTGTGACGGACGGTCCAAACAGGGACGTCACGTCACAATATATATATATATAGTGATAATTCAATATTAATTCCTGTTTTATCTATCACATAATAGATTTGTACATTTCTGATGATAAAACAGTAATCAAGTAGACCACCGACGAGGTAAAACCTTCATTAAATTATCTTTGGGACAACCTAAACAGTCGATAATATCATCGCTCTTCAATTACCTCCGGACCCACCGGGCCCATTTGCTGGCACGAAAATTTACCCAGGGCTGTCGGTCTTTAAGTGTATCTCGTCGGTGGTATGTATAATTAGTTAGATGATTGATATATAATTGATACAAAATATATTAGATATATGATTGATACAAAATATAATAATAAATTAAACAACAATAAAAACAAAAAAAAATTTACTACAAAATATAATTAACAATTTTAACGTAAAATATAATTTATAATTTTTTTTAAGTTTTTTTATTTCATTTTTAATCTAATATCGATTTTTTCTTTTTTGATCAGATCAATTAATACGGTTATGAATGCATTTTTTATTTTGTTATCTAATAAAAACATTGGAATAAATAAATGATCTGTTTCTATATTGTGTATTATATCGGATGTATCTTCATATATGTATTGTGCAATATAGCTGGCTTGAAATGGGGAAATTCCTTTGCTCATTAGCATATTTCTTATTTCCCTGCCTTCTGTAGAATTATTCAAAAATTTTAACCACTTTTCATTTCGTTCTAAGTTTTTATATTCATTTCCGCGCATATATCTTTTTTCTACTTGTTGAATGATGTGAAGCGCAGGTGCACTGATCCGACATTGTGCACAAATTCTATTGGTATGTACTAAAACAATTATAAAAAATACAAATTAAAAAATTAATATATTTTAATATTAATTTTAATATTAATAGTAAATTTTAATATTAATTTAAATAAATAAAATATTTATAATAATGGGTGACAAAAGGCACTAAGAGTCAACACGCAGAAAACGTTGCGTTAAAGCTTCAAATAAAGTTGTATTCTATAAGTAGTGCCTTTTGTCACCCATTATTATTCTATGTAAAAATAATTTATTATTGTAAAATATTTATGTTTTACCTCTTATAAGATGTCTATTTTTTTCTCCAATGTCCATTCCGTTTGTACATTCGTCGAATCAATTTTCAAATCCAATATTTCTATTTTCGAGATTGATCTAGTGTTTTTATCATCTTCATCATTTTTTTTATGGAAAGATGGCGTGATAAATAATTTTAAATGCGGTGTAATTTGCATTCTCGGTAGCATCATACTTCGAGTCAACAATTTTTTACAAATAATTTTAATCATTTCTTGTAAATAGGCAAATCTGAAAAAAAAAATGTAAAAGATTGTGATTTTAATGATAAAAGATAAAGTCTAGTGCACAATTTGTTATAAAATTGTATGTACATACAATTTTACAATAAAATTGTATGTACAGTCGGCAGCTAAAAGGTTGCAACACTTTTTTTTTATAGGTTTCGGAACGCGCAAAAATTTTCAGAATGCGAATCACTGTCTCGGGAGTGGTTAGGATAG